GGTTTTGCTAGTAATCAGGTGTGAGATGATGTGACATTAAGTCCGAGAGACATTATATTCAGAAATCTGTGTGACGAATGATATTGTTCAGGTTCTAATAGTAACCTGATGTTAGGCATGTATACAGTTAAGAAATTGTCCCTAACAATTAGTTAGTATGCCTGAGAATTTATGACTGTTGAGAGATAGAGGGTTTTGGACTGATGGAGGGACTTTCAGATAGCCAGGTCTTTATCGTATTGTCCATCACTGTGTTACTAACCATGGGATTTCTGCAGGCATTCCTTTAAGAGAGGAAGATTGCTCTTACTTGGGGCTGACCTCAGAGTTTTGCAAGTATTCAGGCATTGTTGATGGGTCCTGAAGTAATACAAAGGACCAAGGGAATTTGCAGCTGTCTGTTAGAATGAAATTGTACCAGACACATTTGCCACAGTGTGTTTTTCAGCTTCCTGTGAAGACATCATGATGAACCCAGCAGTGGGCATCAGCAAGGAGCATTTTGCCAGTATGCAGATAGGATCATCTCCACATAGCGAGGTAAGTGATGATACGATTTCTTGTTGCCATTATATTTTTGCAGCTGTTGAGGTAAGAGATGATGTAGCCCTTACTAGTAATAAAAACAACAAATTTTCACTTTTATATTTAGAGAAAATGTATAACCTTGTTAGCGTTAAGGGATTGCACTCAGACAGGTGATTGTCATGAGTTCACACCCCAGTAGTACCCACAGAATTTGGCAGATGTCCGGTCAAGTAATGATGGTCTTTCCTGACAACGGTGTTGACCTGAGTAATGGAAGTTCCTAGATAGAGTTGATGTGTTCCATGGTAATGGGAGTGAAAACGTTGTGTTTAGGTGTCCCCGTAGAATAATTTACATTTCAAACACATTGCTGCTGGTGCTTTTTCAGGTTATTGTCGGGAGAACATGGTGAACCTCACAGTGGTTGTTGACAGATCCCTACTGGTAACCAGGTAAGTGCTAACGTGGGGTCTTACTACAATGAAGACTGATCTAATCTTCAGTATCTAGGTAAGTGAGGATGGTGTCCCTAACACTTGTGTTACTGTGTTTATTTGCAGATACCCTCTTAAGATCTTTCCTAGTACACAGGTATATAATAATGTGACATTAACTTACTGGAGACATTCTTATTTTTAGATACCTATGCATTAATATGTTTAAATTCTAATATTTACATTGTTGTGGGCATGTATTCTGTTAAGAAATGAATGTGTTCCTCTAATACTAGTAAGAATGAGAGTTGTATCCTTGTTTGGAGCTACTGTGTTTTTCAAACTAGTCGTGATGGAAGGATATGCAGGTATCCAGGTAATGTATCCTTTTGTCCATCACAGCATTATTGACCATGCTTTTTTGTAGGTATCCCTTCAAAGAGGAACCAGTCTCTTCCTAGCTTTAAGCTTGGAGTTCCGCAAGTACCCAGGTAGTGTTGATGGATCCCAAAACAATATAAGTAACCCAAGGAATTTGCAGGTGTATGGGTTAAATGAGACAAACAGGAAAATATTTTCCACAATGTGTTTTTTAGATTCATTTCTGGACGTCATGGCGAGTGTCTCAATGGTAGCTCATGGGAGACGCTGGTGGTATGAGGTGAGTGATGATGTGGGCCCGAGCCCCAGCACAGACCATCAGATTTTCATACATGTGGATAAGTGATTATGTGTCCTCACATTTCTTGTTACCATGATTTTTTTGCAAGTGTTCAGGAAAGAAATGATGCTTTTCCCAACTCTAGAAAACATAAGTTTTCACTTTTATATTTCAGGAAAGTTTATTTTGAACACTATGAGTGTTGAAGGATTACATATACGTAAGTATTTATCTTACATTTTCCTTCATAGTACTATCTATATGATATTTAGAAGTGTCCAAACACTGATGGTTTTCTGACATTGGTGCTAACTTTTAATGACAAGTACCCAGCTAGAGTTGCTTTGTCCCATAATGATGAGGTGAACAATGTTATTTGCAGGTGTCATGGTAGAAAAAGTTGTTTCCATTAACACAAATTTCATGATGTGTTTTACAGATTCCTTTCAAGACCTCATGATAAACTTAGCATCAGTCATGAATGGGGGCAGGGATATTGCTGGTATTCAGGTAAGGGAGGATGTGGGCCTAAACCACAGCACAGGCCATCTAATCTCTAGATAGCTAGGTGAGTGATGACGCTGTCTCTAAGAGTTGTTACCATGATTTCTTGGCAAGTATTCAGGTAGGAATTGATAGTCCTTACTAATCTAGAAACATTGAGTTTTTACTGTTTTGTGTTTTAGAAAAGGTGTTTGTTTAACCCTGTGAGTGTTGAGGGATTGCCATATCCAGATATTTATCATGATGTTCCCAACCATAGTAGTGACCATGGAAATTTTGCAGGTGTCCTCTAAAGAAATATTGTCTTACCTAACAACAGCGGTCTTGATCTTGGAGTACTGCAAGCATTCAGGTAGAGTTGATATTCTCATAATAGTGGAAGTGACAAAGGTTATTTGCAAGTGTTCTGGTTACAGCAAGTCCTATCCCTTTACACATACATCATCATGTTATTTTTTCAGGTTCCTTCAAGATCATGAAGCACTGAACAGTGGTCATTAATGGGGGACATTTTTTGTATCCAGGTAAGTGGTGATGTGTATCTTTACCACATCAGACCCTCTGGTCTGTGTGTGTGTGTGTGTGTGTGTGTATAAGTAATGGGTAAGGTGTTGATTGCCTTAGCTTTTTTTTACTATGTGATTCTTTTAAGGTGTGCCGGTAAGAAATGATAATGTTTTACCAATTCTAACAGTCATGTTGTCCTACTGTTATCTATTTTAGAGAAAACTTATGTTTAACCATGTGAGTGTTGATCAGTTTGTCGGTATCCATGTGATGATCATGGAGTTGTGCATCACACTAGTAACTATGATATTTTTGCTGATAACCATTCAAGAGATGGTGGTGTTTCTAACAGTGGTGTAGACGGTGGAGTACTGCAAGAATCCAGGTAGAGTTGATGGGTCCTGATAGGAAAAGTGTGTCTGTAATCACCTTTGTCATAATGTGATTTTCAGGTTCCTGTCAAGAAATCATGGTAAACCTCATAATGACCATTAACAGAACTTTGCTTGCATCCAGGTAAGCCATGATATGAGCCTAAAGCACCTTACAAACAATTTGATCTTCAGATATTTAGATTAGCGTGGATAGTTCTAACATTTGTGATAACATGTTTTTCTGCATGTGTTCAATTAAGAAATGATATTTTCCCAACCAATGTTAGTAGTAAGCATTAGCCCATAGTACTGTAGAGTTTCTATTCAGTGGGTATTTAAAATTCGTAGTGATGGAGACAGGTACAGGTGTCTAGCTAAGTTATCCTACTGTTCCACACCACAATGTTGTCTATGAGATTCCTACAGATACTCAAGAAGGTGATGTCTCTGATAATGGTGTTAATCTTGAAGTTCTGCCAATATCCAGGTATGATGATGGTTTCCCTAATAATGGCAGTAACCAAGATTATTTCTAGGTACCTTTTTTTTCCAGGTAAAGTAAGTTGTGTCCTTCAACATACTTGTTGTTGTGTTTTTTAAGGTTCCAACCATTATGACATCACAGTGAAGAAAATGATGGTCCTTGACGGGGCCTTGCTAGTAACCAGGTATGTGATAGATTGGTTCTACCAAAATATAGATCCATCTGATCTTTGGATATTTAGGCGAGTGAGGATGGTGTCCCTAACACAGTGTTATTATGCTTTTTGCTGGTATCCCAGAAAGTTCTTTGCTAGTATAAAAACATGAAATGATGTGACAATAAATCATTAGGGATTTCTTATCTTCAGATATATAGGTAACTAATGTTTCCTAGACCTTTATGTTAATCTTTTTAGCATATAGACACTTCAGAAATCAATTTGTCCCTAACAATAGTGGCCTGAGATTTTACTGTCTCCTTGTTCAAAGATAATGTGTGTTTTTACACTCATACCAGTGGACCTATAGTCAGATATCCAGGTAATTTATCATATATTCCATACTTGTGATATTGACTGTGGGATCTTTGCAGGTATGCCCTCAAGAGATGAAGGTAAATCTAATTAGAATTTAACCTTTTGAGTTCTACATATTGCCCTGTAATGTTGAAGGGAGTCCCAAAATAATACACTGACCAAGAGAACTTGCAGTTATCCAGGTAGAATAAAATGTGTATGGAACAAGTTTTCTATGCTGTGTTTCAGGTTCATGTTAAGACATCACGGGGAGCATATCAGTCACAGTAAATGAGGCACCTAGCAGGTATTGAGGTAAGTGATGATGTGGGCCTGAACCACAGCACAGACTATCTGATCCTGTACATGGGTAAGGGATTGTGTCCCTAAAACCTCTTGTTACTATGATTTTGTTGCAGGTATTCAGGTAAGAAATGATAGTCCTTACCAAATCTAGTGACCATGACTTTACACTTTTTACTTTTTTTTAAGATTTATTTATTTGAGAGAGAGGAAGAGAGAGAGCGTGCACGTGTGGGTGCAGGAGGGGCAGAGGGAGAGTCTAAGGCAGGGGCTCGATCCCACGATCCTGAGATCATGACCTGAGCTGAAACCTTAAGAGTCTGATGCTTAACCAACTGTGCCCCGACACTTTTTACATTTTAGAGATAACATGTTTAACCCTGTGAGTGTTGAGAGTTGACTGTACCCATAATCGTCAAGTTCCCACCCCAGTAGTAACCACAGTGTTTTTGCAGGAATCCAGTTAAGACACGAGGGCTTTCTTCTGACCAAGGTGTTGACCTGAATTAATGCAAGTATCAGGGTAGAGTCAATACGTTCCATAATAATGGAAATGAAAAGGATTATTAGCAGGTGGTCTGGTGGAACAAGTCGTGTCCTTAAACATATTTATCCTGTGTGTTTCTTCAGTTTCCTTTCAAGAAAACACAGTCAACCTAACAATGTTTGTTAACAGAACCTTGCTCTTGACCAGGTACATGATAAAGTGAATCTTGTCACATTGCAAACCATCTGATCTTTAGTATGAAGGTAGGTGAGGATGATGTCTCTAATACTTGTGTTACCCTGTTTGCACGTATCTTGTTCAGCTCTTTGCTAGTATACACGTATAAGATGATGTGACATTAACTTACTAGAGACATTTGCACTGGGTGTTATATGCAAACAATGAATCATGGAACACTACAGCAAAAACTAATGATGTAATGCATGGTGATTAACATAACATAATAAAATTTTTTTGAAAAAGACTCATATTTATCTTGTTTTGGCATATATGCAGTGAAGACATTAATTTGACCCTAACAATACTAATAAAATTAAATTTTTCATATTCTTACTTAGAGATAATATATAATCCAAATAATTTATCCTATACCATCATCATGTTCTTGACCTTGGGAATTTTTTCAGGTACCCCTTCAAGAAAAGTAGATGTCTCTTCCCGGGGTGTGACCTTGGAGTTCTGCAAGTAAGTATCCAGGTAGTGCCGGTGGGTCCTGAAATGATAACAAATGACCAAGGGAACTTGCAAGTGTGGAGGTAGAATCATTCCTGTACTAAACACATTTCCCACAATGTTTTTTCAGGTTAATGTCAAGGCCTCACAGTGAGTTCATCAGTGATCGTTAATGTGGGACATTGCTGGTATGGAGGTAAGTGATCCTGTGGGTCAAAACCACAGCACATACCATCTGGCTGTCATATACCTAGGTAAGTGATGGGTGGCCTTACACTTCTTGTTACCATGAATTTTTTTTGAAGGTATGAGGTAAGAAATGCTAGAGTCCTCACCAATTCCAGAGACATGTTTCTCCACTTTCTATATTTCTGGAAATGTTCATTTTTAACCCTATGAGTGTTGAGGGACTGCATGTATGCAGGTATTTATCATGATATTCCCTGTGATAGTACTATCCATAGGGTATTTACAGGTGACCAGACATCGAATGACAGTTTTATCTGTGTTAACTTTAGATTATTGTAAGTATCCAGTAAAGTTGATGTATCTCATAATGATGAACTAAACAATGTTATTTGCAGGTTTCCTGATAGGAAAAAGTTATGTCCCTTAACACACACATTCACAATGTCTTTCCAGTTAAGAAATCATGATGAACCTAATGCTGCTCATCAGTGGGGATGTTCCTAGTGTGCAGGTAAGTGATGATGTGGGCCTAGCCCAGGCCTTCCGCTCTCCATATAGCTGGCTGGGTGATGGTTTCCCTAACAATTGTAACCATTTTTCTTTGCAGGTATTCAGGTAAGAAATGATAGTCCTTACCAATTCTAGAAACCATGTGTTTTTTTCTTTTTATATTTTCTTTTATTTATTTTTTTTAAAAGATTTTATTTATGGGGCACCTAGGTGGCTCAGTCATTAAGCGTCTGCCTTCGGCTCAGGTCATGATCCCAGGGTCCTGAGATCGAGCCCCGCGTCGGGCTCCCTGCTCAGCGGGAAGCCTGCTTCTCCCTCTCCCACTCCCCCTGCTTGTATTCCCTCTCTTACTGTGTCTCTCTCTCTGTCAATTAAAAAATTGGGAGAGGGAGAAGCAGGCTTCCCGTGGAGCAGGGAGCCCAATGCGGGGCTCGATCCCAGGACCCTGGGATCATGACCTGAGCTGAAGGCAGACGCTTAACAACTGAGCCACCCAGGCACCCCTCTTCTTATATTTTAGAGAAAATTTTATTTTATCCTGATGAGTAATGAGAGATTGCCATATTCACATAATTATCATAATGTTCCTAACCCTAGCAGTAACCATGGAAATTTTGCAGGTGTTTCATAACGAAATGTCATATCTGCTAATGGTCTTGACCTTGGAGTACTGCATATATTCAGATGGAGTTGATGTTCTCATAATGAAGGAAGTGTCCAAGGTAATTAGTTTGAGGTGTCATGCTACAAGTTCTGTTTTTTTTACACATATATCCTGTGTTTTTCAGATTCCTATCAAGAGATCAAGATGAAATTAATGGTTAACGGGGGACATTTCTGGTATCCAGATAAGTGATGTTGTATACCTTCACCACATGAGACCAGCTGACATTCACATACCTAGTTAAGTGATAATGATGGGCTAAACTAGTTTTACTATGTGATTTATTTCAGGTTTTCAGGTAAGTAATGATAGTGTTTTTAATCAATTCTAGCAGTCATGTTACCCTACTGTTTTATATTTTTGAGAAAATTTATTTTTAACCATGTGAGTACTGAGCCACTTGTGGGTATCCACATAATGGTGATGGACTTGTGCAGCACAGTAGTAACCAGGGTCTCTTTGCAGGTGAGCAGGGAAGAGATGATGGTGTTTCTGGCAATGGCCTAGACATTGGAGGAATCCAGGTAGAGTTAGGTGCTGGGTCCTGCAGTGATGGTAGTGAACAAGGCCACTTGCCATCTCCTAGCAGCAAAGGTGTATCTATAGAGACCTTTTTTACAATGTGTTTGTCAAGTTCTTACCAAAATTCATGATAAATATCCTAAGGATCAATAACAAGACTTTGCTTGTGTCTAGTTAAGTAATGACGTGGGCCTTTAGCACCCTAAACACAATCTGATCTTCAGATATGTAGGGAAGGATGGACAGTGTTCCTAACTTTTCTGTTTGTTTTTATGCAGGTATTCAGGTAAGAAATGATATTGTCCCAAGTATAGCCCTAATGTTTTTTAGAGTTTATGTATCATGTGTGCTTAACCTGAGTGATAAGAGAAGGGTATGAAGGCATGCCCCTAAGTCACCCTCCTGTTCCATACCACAGTATTGACCAGGAGATTTCTACAAGTGCTTGGAGATGGTTTGTCTCTTAGCACTGATGTTGACGTTGAAGTTTTGAAAGATCCAGGTAGTGTTGGTGGTTCCCTTAATGATGAGACTATAAAATGATTTGCTGGTACCTTTTTTTGTTTCGTTTTTGATTCTTACAAGTAAGACAAACTGTGTCATTCAGCCCCTAAATGCTTGTTTTTGAAAGTTTCTAGAAACCATGATGTCATAGTGAACCTAACCACAGTTGTGAGTTGGACCTCGAGAGTAAGCAGGTATGTGATAAAGTGGGTCTTACCCCAATACAGATCATTTGATCTTCACATACCTAGGTAAGTGAGGATGGGGTCTCTCAACACAGGGTTACCATGTGTTTTTGCAGGTATCCTCTTAAGTCCTTTGCTAGTGTACAAGTAGGAGATGACGTGACAGTCACTCATTAGAGACCTTCTCAATCTCAGTATCTACAAAATGAATGTGTCTGAGACTCTTACATTTACCTAGTTTTTGTCATTATATAGTTAAGAAAGTAATTTGTCCCTAGTAATACTAGTAAGAGTGAGATTTGTCTGTTCTTTAGATAATACGTATTTGATACTAATGAAAAATGGGTATGTAGGTATTCACATAACTTACTATATCGTCCTTCACAGTGTTATTGACGAAGGGGTTATTGCAGGTACCCTTCAAGAGAGGAAGGTGTCTCTTCTTAGGGTTTGACCTTGGCGTTCTGCAAGTATCCAGGTACTATTGATGGATCCCAAAATGATACAAGTGACCAAGGGAATTTGAAGGTGTGGAGGTAAAATGAGACATTTACTACAGTATGTTTTTCAGATTCATGTCAATACGTTACAATAAACCTATCAATGATAGTTAACATCAGACATTGTTGTATGGAGGTGGGTGATGCTGTGGGCCTACAGTGCAGCCCGACTACCATTCAGATGTTTATGTAGATGATATGTTCCTCACATTTCTTGTTATCATGACTTTTTTGCAGGTAGTCAGGTAAGAAGCTATAGAAGCCTTATAAATTCTAGCAACCATATTATCCTACAGTTTTACATGTTAGAGAAAATTATGTTTGACCATGTGATTGTTGAGCAGTGTACAGATATCCACATAATTATGACTGAGCTGTGAGTAACGGTAATAACCTTGGTATTTTTCAGGAGAGCAATCAAGAGATGATGATGTCTGTAGCAACGACACAGATCTTAGAGTATTGCAAGGTTCCAGGGAGAGTTGATGGGTTCTGCAGTGATGGCAGTGAACAAGGTTATTTTCAGGGTCCAGGTATAGAAGGTGTGACTATAGACATATTTGCCACAATGTGTTTTCCAGGTTCCTGTCAAGAGATCACGGTGAACCTCCTCATGATCATTAAAGGGACACTGCTTGTATCAGGTAAGTGATGCTGTGTGCCTTAAGCACCCTACAGACCATCTGATCTTTAGATCTTAGAGTCAATGGGGTTCTTAAATTTGTGTTTCCATGTTGTTGTTTTTTTCTTTTGCTGTTACTCAGTTATGATATTGTCCCAACAAATGCTAGTAAGCATTAGTCTTTATTATTTTAGAGTTTAGATATACTGTATATTTAACTTTAGTAGTGATTGTGGGGTAGGTAGGTGTCCCAGTAACTTACTCATCTGCTCCACACCACGGTATTTACAACGAGATTTCTCTAGGTAGTCAGGAAAGAGATGATGATTTCTGTAACAATCGTGTTTACCTTTAAACTCTGCCAGGATCCCAGTAGTCTTGGTGGTTCCTGCAGTGATAGAAGTGATCAAGATTATTTGCAGGATTTTTTTTTAAATTTTTGTAGATAAAACAAGTTTTGTCCTTCAACACACTCGTCCATCATGTCCTCAGGTTCCAGCAGTCGTGAGATCATGGTGAACCTGACAATGGCCATTAACAGGACCTTACTGGTAACCAAGTAAGTGATAAAGTATGTCTTACCTCAACACAGACCGTCTGATCTTCAGATATCTGAGTGAGTGAGTATGGCTTCCCTAACACAGTGTCACCTGGTTGTTTTGCAAGTGTCCCGTGAAGGCCTTTCCTAGTATACAGGTATGAGACTATGTGGCATTACCTTATTAGAGAGCTGCTTGTTTTTCATATGTGAATGAGGCTTTTAAGACTATATTAACTATGTTTTTGGCATGTATGCAGTTTAGGAATTGACCCAAGTAGTACTAGTAAGTATGAGATTTTACTGTATTCTTATTCAGAAATTGTGTATTTTATTCACCCAGAGTGGTGGATAGGCAGAGATCCAGGTAATTTATCGTATTGTCCATCACCACATTATTGACCATGGGATTCTTGCAGGTATCCCTTCAAGAGAGGAAGCTATCTCTTCTTAGGGTATAACCTCAGGGTTCTGCAATTATCCAGGTAACATTGATGAATCTCCAAATGATACAGTTGACCAAGGAATTTGCTGGTGTCCCACTAGAATGAGACATGGACCAAACACTTTTTCCACAATTTTTTTTTCAGGTTCACATGAAGACCTCACTGCGAGCCTATCAGTGGTAGGTAGTGACGTGCACATATCAGAGACCGAGGTAAGTGATGACGTGGGCCTCCACCAGGGCACAGGTCATATGATCTTCGTACGCAGAAGTGATGATGGTGGCCCTCCACTCGTGTTACCATACATTTTTGCAGGTATCCCTCTCAGGTCTTGGATAGTACGCAGGTATATACGTGGTGTGATATTAACTCATTATAGATGTTCCTACTTCCCTTGTTTTTGGCAAGTGTAAGTTCCAGTAATTGGACCCTGATAATACTAGCAAGTAGTAGTTTTTGTTGTTTTCTTTTATGGAGATCAAGTGTGTTTCTCACTCCTCATGGCAGACAAATAGGAAATATCCAGGTCCTTTATCATATTGTTCTAACTGCATTATTACTGTGGGGTGTTTACAGGTATGGCGTCAACAGAGGAAGGCAAACCTTACTAGGGTTTAACCTCAGAGTTCTGGAAGTGTCCAGGTAATGTTTATGGGGCCCCACATGATACAAGTGACAAGGGAATTGACAGGTGCACAGGTAGAATGAGACATGTACCAAACACATAAACCACAATATGTTTTCCAGGACATGCAGAGAGAGCACATGAGCCTATCCAGAGCAATGAATGGGGGGAGCAGCATTGCTGGTATTGAGGTAAGTGATGCGCTAGGCTAAGTGGTAACGTGTGCTGACACTTCTTGTTACGAGGATTTTGTTGCAGGGATTCAGGTAAGAAGAATCCTTACCAATTCTAGAGACTATAAATTTTTACTTTTTACATTTTAGATAAAATATATGTTTAACACTATGCATATTAAGAGATCATAGGTATACAGGTATTTATCATGGTTTTCTCCACCACAGTACTACCCATATGATTTTTAGAGGTGTCCAGTCACGAAATGATGATTTTTTGACATTGATGTTGACCTGGGAGTATTGTAAGTATCCAGGTAGTACTGTTAAGTATCCAGAGTTGATATGTCTCATAATGATGAAGTGACCAAGGTTATTTGCAGGTATCCTGGTAGAAAAAGTTGTGTTCTTAAACATGTTTCATAACATTTTTTTCAGACCCCTATCAAGAGATCACAATGAGCCTAACATGGGTCATTAATGGGGGCAAGGACATTGCTGGTATGCAGGTAAGGGAGGATGTGGGCCTAAACCACACAGCACAGGCCGTCCGATCTCCAGATAGCTAGGTGAGTGATGACGGTGGCCCTAACACTTGTTGTCATGATTTCTTCAGGGGCATTCAGGTAGGAAATTATATAGATCCCCTGCCCATATAGAAACCATGAGTTTTCATTTTCTGTGTTTCAGAGAAAATTTTTGTTTATCCCTATGAGTGTTGACTAATATCATATCTAGGCAATTAGGATGATGTTTCCTGCCACAGTAGTGACCATGGAAATTTTGCAGGTGTCCTGTTTTCAACTGTTGTCTCACCTGACTGTGATCTTGACTTTGGAGTACTACAAGGATTCTGGTACAGTTGATGTTTTACAATGATGAAAGTCATAAAGATTATTTGCAGATGTCCTGGTAGAACAAGTTGTGTTCTTTTATACATATATCATAATGTGTTTTTCAGGTTCATGTCCCAAGGTCATGGTGAACCTAATGGTTATTAACAGGAGACATTTCTGGTATCCAGGTAAGCAATGATACACAACTTCATCACATCACAGACCGTCCAGTCTTCACATACTGACATAAGTGATTTTCGTTCTTGTTTGACCATGGGATTTTTTTTTTTTTTTGTAGGTTTTCAGGTAAGAAATGATAATGTTTTACCAGTTGTAGAAACCATGTTATCCTACTATTTTATATTTTAGAAAAAATTATGTTTAACCATGTAAGTGTTGAGCAATTTGCAGATATCCATGTAATTATTATGAAGGTGCAAATTACAGTAGTACCGTGGTTTGGGTTTTTTTGTTGTTTGTTTTTGTGTTTGTGTTTGTTTGTTTGCTTGCAGGTGAGCATTCAAGAGATAATGGCATCTCTAACTATGAGGTAGGCCTACCTAAGATCCTAGGTAGATTTAATGAGTTTTGGGACGCGTGGGTGGCTCGTCGGTTAAGCATCTGCCTTCGGCTCAGGTCATGATCTCAGGGTCCTGGGATGGAGCCCCGCATCGGGCTCCCTGCTTGGTGGGGAGTCTGCTTCTCCCTCTCCCTCTGCCGCTCCCCCTGCTTGTGCTCACTCTCTCTCTGACAAATAAATAAAATCTTTAAAAAAAAGAAAAGATTGGGGCACCTGGGTGGCTCAATTGGTTGGGCGACTGCCTTCGGCTCGGGTCATGATCCCAGGGTGCTGGGATCGAGCCCCACATTGGGCTCCCTGCTCGGCGGGAAGCCTGCTTCTCCCTCTCCTACTCCCCCTGCTTGTGTTCCCTCTCTCGCTGTGTCTCTCTGTGTCATATAAATAAATAATAAAATCTTTAAAAAAAAGGTTCAATGAGTCCTGCAGTGATGCCAATTACAAGGTAATAAAGGTGTGTCATGACACATCTGTCAGAATGTTTTCTTCAGGTTACCATGGTAATCCTGATAATAATCATTAAAGGGATTTTGTTTGTATCCAGGTAAGTGATGATGATAGCCTTTTCCATGCTATAGACCATCTAATATTCAGATATCTGAGTAAGTATGGATGGTATTCCTAACCTTGTGTTGCTGTGTTTTTTTGCAGGTGTTCAGGTAAGAAATGATACTGTCGATGATGCTAGTAAGCGTTAGTCCTTATTATTTTCAAGTTTAGATATACTGTTTGTATAATATCAGTGTGTCAGAGATTACATAAGTATCCAGGTAAGTTAGTATTTTGCCCATTGCCTCTTTATTGACCATGGCTTCTTACAGTTATCTTGTCAACAGTATTGTGTCTCTAACTAGGGAGTTGACCTTGAACTTCTGCAAGTTTCCAGGTAGATTTGATAGGCCTCATAAATTTGATGGGATTTTGCAGGTAATACATGTATTCCTAACACAGTTTTTGCAATGAATTTTTATAGAATCCACTCAAGAGATGATGGAAGGCCTTCGAGAAAATATACCAGAGAAATCCCAAATTAAATACTATGGTCATGATGAGCACGGGGTGATGCATGGAGTTGTTGAATCACTATATTGTACACCTGAAACTAGTATAACACTGTATGTTTACTGGAATTAAAATTTAAAAATATATAAGGGGATTCAAAAACAATCCCAGGGTGAAATAACCTATTCAAGTCGTATAATAATATTTTCAGTTTCCAATAGCTGCCTGTGAAAAAAATCTTGCTCAAAATGCATAAAATGAGAAAAATGTATTCCATATGAATGAATGAATAACTTGAACTTGTGAACTAGTGAGAAAATAAAATCAAATGAATGAATAAATGAATGCTATGATTAGTTGAACCATCATCTCTTGATTTGTATTTTTGCAGATACCCACTCAGGAGGAGAAAATGTCTCTATTCAAGGTCTTGTCCCTGGATTTTTGCAAGTAGCTGGGTAGATTTTACAGTACCTTTTAAGTCTGCACTGCTCATTAGATTTTCAGGTGTCCAGGTTATGGAATTATCATTAAACACCATTGTAGATTCCAGTTAAGAGATTGTTGAGAACCTCCGTTTGGTATTGAAGGCAAAATTTTGTTTGCACTAAGTACAAGATAATGGTGTTTGTACCAGAGTTAGAGCTCATGAGATTTTGCACATATCCAGGTAGACCATGTTGGTATTCTGAAGCCAACCTAGTGACCATGATTTATTTGTGAGTATTTGTAAGTTGTAAGCAGTGATCAGGGAAATTGTGCAGATATCCTGTACACTATGAAGGTGTCTCTAACTAAGGTGTTTTTCTTGGAAATTTGTAGATGTCCGGGTAAGAGATGATGGTGTCCCTAATCAAGATAATGACCTTGGGATTTTGCAGTTATCCAAGCAAGAGATGACATGTCCCTACCATGATCTTGATCCTGCACCTTTCTAGGTATTCAAGTAAGAGATGGTATTTGTCTGAATACGTTAGTGACCATGGGGCTTTTACTGGTATGCAGGCAGATGGTGATTCTGTCTGATCTGTAGTGCTGACCTTTGAATTTTACATGTATCTAGGTAAGAGGTGATCTGGCCCTTACCATGTTGGTGGCCTTGGGATATTTTAGTCTAGACAAGGAGTGGTGTGTCCTTAACCATGTCAGTTACCGTGAGATTTTGCAGGTATCCAGGTAAGATGTCACATATCTACAACATATTATTTCTCTTCACATTTTTTAGATATTCTGAGAAGAGATGATGGTGTTCCTAACAACAGTAAAGACCACTGGATTCTGCACATGTCCAGTGAAGAGATGATAGCATCTCTTTCAACGTTGGTGTCTATGGAAATGAAAGAAATGGAATGCTTTTTTTGATTAGCTGTATAATTTGTTAAAAGAATTTTAATGTTCAATGGCTATTAAATATTATTCACAATCATATTTTCTTATATCCATTTGTTTAATTTCTCCATAATGACATTTGCACCAGGAATCTTAGGCCCACGTTTATGAAATATGTTAATATCTTGGAGCCATGAATACAGATAGACTTCATATGAAATGTGGTTATTCCTAAAGAAAACTAGGCTATAAACCCAATTCTTAGTTAAAGGATTGGGGGAACCAAGGAAGAGGAATATTGGTGTACATATTGTGGGCAAAAAACATCTGTACTCTCCCCCTCCTGGTATGAATAGGCATTAGATGATATGTTAGGAAAATACGTGAAACATGATAGAGATTAATGGGGAACTTGAATATCTCTTATCTAAATATTCAGTTATTGAATTATTATTTAGCTTATATCATTGACACATAGAAAATGAGAGCTGAATAAGAATTTGATGATCATTTAGCCCAACACCACCATGAATGAGAGAGCCCTGAGTGCAGAGAGGTTAATCAAGGTCACACAGCTATCTAGTTGTGATGTGCTCTTTCCATTATCCTGTTTTCTTGGTTTGAAAACCTGAGACCGATTAAAAAGCAGTAAGGCAAGTACTTGTTCAAATCAATATAGCTCAGGAAATGCACTTCCAATTGGCCAGATTATTCATCATGCACTTTGCTTTTTTGTTCATATATTCAGTATAAAATTCTTGGCCCCAGGTGTCTGTCCTAAACCCCCAGCTACAAATGTCTCCTGTGAAGGGAAGCAACGTAGTCTGAATTTTGGTTCAGCCAAGTGGGATCCCTGTGAACTTCTGTTCTCCTCTGATACAACAGTTCTGAGATCCATTTACAGCCATTGTTGTCTGCATTTCAACACCATTGAACATAATGTCAGAGCAAGACCCGGTAGGTACAATTCCATAGAAAAAGAGAAGTAAAAGGTTTAATCTGCAACAGTGGATGACGATAATGATGGAGAAAGAAAATTAAACAAGGATGAACAAATTTGACAAGATGCCTTCACCCCAGGCCATGCACATAGGAGGCACTCAGTATTTTTTTAAGTAAATGAATGCTTCTTGATAGTTTGGATGATTATGGATCAGCCCATTCAACCACCATTCTTCCTTCTAGTGTGTGAAGGCAAGAATGCTAAAAACTCCATTTCCCAGACTTCCTGCCACACGGATGTGAGTGTGATTCAGGTTCTGTCATCGATGTAACAGTATGCTTAACTAACTTTTACTGGAATTAAGTCATAGGTAGAAGGGCAAGGAGTGGACCACCATTTTATTGGCCTGGATTGTGGCAAGGGCCCCCATGGTTCTGGACAGATGTGTTTGAGGAGCTTGGAATTCATAAAACAGGTAAGCCAAAAAAGCTGGAGATGTGGCTCAGGGTCCAATATGCTATTTAAGGAAACATTCTTTCATCTTCCCATTTTTTTCCTTCTAGTTTTTGAACATTTTACAGACCATATTGTCACAGAGATAAGAGGTGGAAAAAGAAGGAAAAAGCCAACCATTACACCACCACTGAAACACATAAAGGACCAAGGAAAATTATAAGTGTTTATCAGTCATCATCCATATTAATCCATTTTACATGGTTACCATACAGTTGATACAATTTGGGGAAGATTTCTTTCTCCTAAAATTGTAAATATATATGCACATATTTTAATATTTAGAAAATTGCAAAAATGACAAGGAAACATTAAACATGTAAATCTGTGCACATCGAAGTCCTTCATTCAACACCTACTGGTAAGTACACTTCCACGCCCCGGGAATCAACAGTGAAGAAGCTGGACAACATCCATGCCTTAAGGAAGATTCCATTTTCTTGTATGTTACAATTTTAGTGATCCATACATCCTGGGCCCTGTTATTTCAGCACTTCGTTGTCCCAGCGTACTTATTAATGGCTCTCACTCTCAAGGGTGTCTCAGTTTGGACAATACAGTAAATGGACACCCTGGATATAATAATAAACAAGTGAAGACATACTTTAATCAGAGTAGTAGGTGCTGTAAAAACAAGGTAAGGTGATACTAATTGGGGAAAGGGACTTCTTTAGTTTGAGCAGTCAGGGAAGTCCTCTCTGAGGAGAGCTAAAGCAATGAAAAGAAAGAGCCAGTTGGGTGAGCATTCTAGGAGGAGCAAATGCAAGCGGACGTGCGGAGAGGACAGAAAGAAGCAATGTGGATGGAGGGTAGCGCGGGCAGTGCGTGAGGGGGAGAGTGGCCCAAGGATGTGCAAGGCCTTGTGTATCATGGGGAGGGGCTTGGCTTACATTTGAAATGCAGTTGGTGCTCTTTGAAAGAGAACAAAGTGACCTAATTTGTGGGTCTTTGCCCAACATATTCAGTTCCACAGTACGGCGCATCCATATCTGGTGAGGGACTCTCCAATTTAAAATCCAGTGGCTCCTGTAGTAATACCACGGGGACCATGATTTAATGAAAAATCGTTCTCTATTACCAGCATGGGAATGAAAGATCAGTGACGGTAGGACTTCAAGCCTACTACTAAGTAGAAATTCCCAAGAAACGTATTCATGACTCTCCCCCCCACCAATATTAAAGGATACAATACATCGAAGTGTTTACTTTGAGAACGTGAGAACAGACTTGCAAACAAATATGACTTTTTACAAGTTTATTCAAGTTCCCCTCTCATCATTCAGGCCATTTGTTAAGGATTTGGCAGTTTGAAAGCAGTCGGGACAAGTCTCCAGCCAGCACAGAGTGGCGAATTGGGGCGGACTTACTCCCATGTTTGGACCTGGTTTGGACAGGGAGGGAGGAGCAAGATGCCACGATCTGGTAGAGGTCCTTGATAGGTGTTCCAGCAGCTTCCACATTCCTTCTGAGGCATTTTAAAGTGATCCAGCCCAGAGGCGCACCTCTGTCCTGCGGTGCTCGGTGTCCCAAGGCCCAGCACTTGGCCACACAGATTGTGTGCAGCACAAGGGTGCCAGACTGCAGAGGCTGAAGCAAGGGCCAGGTTCTAGGTCATTCTGCCACCCAAACCAGGTCAGCTCAGAGGAAGGGACATGTCTTCAGTTCAGCTTTGCTTTGCCTTTGGGTTTTATGAATTCCAAGCTCCTCAAATACATGGTCTCTCTGCCACAGTCCATGTCGGTAAAACGGATATCCACTCCCTGCTTTTCTACCTGACTGGGAAGAGGGCCATGCCCTAAGGGGATGTCACGAGGACTGCTGAGCCTCGAAACCCCATGTTTTGGACATCCCTGGGGCCCTTATGACCTCTGACCAGGGTCTGAATTTCTCAGCAGATTCACCCTCACCAGCTGGCTAATTCTGTCTCCTGATTCTCACTCTGGATTGGGAACAGTGTTGATTTCTTGTTTCAGCAACATCGGAGGCGTAAAACAAAGAGAAGCATTTCCATTATTCACTCACATAAATAATTAGTTGCTCAAGACTGCTCTGGAGAGCAGGATTGTACTCAGCATGCCAGCTAGGAATATATCATTATCTCAAGCACCACCTTGGCTGGCGCCAGGAGTCCTGTTAGGACCTCCATCTCTGTCACACTTTGGTACTTCTAGCCTTTTCTGTCTCCCTCAGGACTAGTTAAGACAGATGCTAGTGTGTCGGTGAGGTTTTGAAAATAACACTTTTCATAGCAGTGGTTTGAGTTAATGGTGTTTTCCATCTCAAAAATGTTTTACAAACATTAATTACGCTTTAGCTCCCTGGTGGGCTTGGGCTGAGAGAATGCTTATGGAGAGAGTTACTGCTTTTCCCTCAGGTCACAGAGAGTCCTCAAGGAAACAGAAGGCCTGGGGGCTTCCGCCTAACAGTCCTTTGCCTGAAAGAGGATTTAACACACCTTTAGAACTTTTGTGAAGCTCCGAAAATGAAGTGTTTTGTGATGCTTCGTCAAACGAAATCCCTTGAAATGCTTTTTAAAATGATGTCCAGCTAGTATAAACCACCTGTCAAAAAGCATTTTTTGTTAATTGTTATGGAAAAGTGTACATCTATTGAGTTAGTGTAGTAGGAAAATAGAGTAAGCTGCAAGCCTAAATCAATTCGGTAAGACAATAGTTACTTCTCGGTAGGAAGAGGAAAGAAAAAAAAAAAGCCCAAGCAGGTGTAAGAAGGAAGGAAGGATATGAGAGGATAAGAGATCCTCAAAAGCATTCCTTCCGTTTCCTCATTCTGGCACAGAAATCCAAACAGAAAAGCTTTAAAAGAAACACCTGGAAAAACAGTAGCTCCACATTCATAATGCAGAAACACAGGCAGAATGCAATGGTAAGATTCATTTGTGGCCATCTTTATCTAAATGATGCTCAGCTGGGTGTGGTTTTGTCCCATCTCCCATCCCCCTGGGACCTTTGACAACGTCTAGGGGATATTTGTGGTTGTCCTCAGTTGAAGGGCAAATGGAGGGACACTGGCATCTAGAGTATGGCGGTCAGGGCTGCTACCAGAAACTTCCTACAATGCACATGACAGCTCCCATCACCAACAAAGACCCAGCCCCAAATACCAATAGTGCTCAGGTTGAAGAACTCTGCTCTAAATCGTTACCTTGTCAGAAAGGTAACTCCAAATCCCTCCACTCAGTTGGAGGTAGTGATTGACTTCAACGCCCCCAACTCCAGGCTGGCTGTCCATACTGCTTGCTCTCAGATACCTTCGTTAGGCCTGGGAACCCATCTGTCCAGGGTCTAAACTCTAACGTGTTCCTAGCTGTTGCACTGTTGATTTTCTCAGAAGGTAACAGAAATGATCCAGGGTCCTTTTAATTAGGAAGACCTATGCACATTTCTACTCAAATGTATCAGCCAGTTTATTTCATTTGAGCAGAAACAAGGTCAAATGCCAGATCGAGGAAAGACCCTTCTTGACGAAACCTCTACGGCACATCATGTTAACTTTTCCATGCTGATGGGGAGAAGGAGGAGGCTTTGTATTCTTGTACAACTTTGTCACAGAATTATCTGTTGAGCTATGTT